TTTTGTACTGACTGTAGGGAAGTGTACGTCACTCTGCTGTCATTGAATAGGAGCCAGTCCCTCGCCTCCAGGCCCGTGTTGGGTAATGAGTCGCCTTGTTCTGATGTGCAGAGGCTACAAGCGGCCTGTTCGCTCGCTGAATCCTGTTTGACAGGAGACAGACCCGCTGAGTGCTGCGTCCCATCCGCTCCGTTGATGTTTCGTCCGTAGGAGTAGTAGTGGCCGCTCTCCGAGGAAACCCCAGAATGCACCACGACAGAGCTGAGCATATAGGGCACTGATTGGACTGAAGTCTCTCTTCCTCTGGTCATCTTCTCAGCTTCATCTAACCTCAACTTCCTCTCTTCCTCCTCTTCTCCTTGTGATGGTTTGAGTTTCTTAGCCAGGTTCTCGCTGCTTTCTGGGGAATCAACTTGCAAAGGAGACGAGGAGGCGGAGGACCACTGCACTGGCGTCGCAGAGGCATGGACAGGAAGTCTCAGGGCTGGCGGGATGATGACATTATCTAGAATCTTCTTGCGGATATGGCTTTTGGCATCGTAAGAGAATCGGAGCAACGTGAGGATGAGGTACTCAGGCGCGGAAACCACCTTCATGGTCCTCTCAGCTCGTTGGAGGGAAACACACTTCTCGCAAAAGTACGCATTGTCTTCATCCAGGATCTCAGGAGCCAGAAAATAGTTCACCAGGTCAGGCACAGACAGAGGGGGTTCGTTCGTCACTGGCTCATACTGAACATTAGTAGCTAGATTGCTTGTTTCAGGAGCTTCGCTGCCACCATTGACAGATCCCTGACAGAGCACCTTGCCTTCCTCTGTAAGTCTCTCTGCTTTGGGACTGCCCTGAGAGGAAGAAGACGGGCAAAAGGCCAAAGACAAGTCTGTAAAAGGCTCTTCTTTCTCGGAGATGCTGTTACACTGCATGCACCGAATGCCTGTAATCAGCTTTCCACCAAACATCCGCTCTATCAAAGTCCTTCCATTGTTTGCGCATCGGTTCTCCGCTTCAACCAAATGGCAGTCCTTGCGGTCTTCAGAAGTTGTTGGACTTGTTGGGTCTCTGCTGATCGGATCAACCAGGGAGGCTACTGTTGGCTTGGCTGATTGCAGAACGTGAAGCGTTTTCTCCTCTTCGTGCAACCTTAAAAATATGAGTACACTTGGCATTAGCAGAGGTGGGTCGAGTAGCCAAAGATTATAGACAAATGAGTAGCTGTACTTCAGCATATTTTTACTCAAGTAAGACTAAAAAAGTATGTGGTAAAACCCAAGTACTGAGTAACTGATCAAAAGGCCTGTTGTGCTACAAAATGGCACAATCAAGACTACGTGTTACCGGAGATCTTTCCTGCCTGCAGCTTTGACATTTTAATTGGCTTTAAGCAAAAATAAAACAACAGGAACAGCTGAGCATAAGGAGCAGCGCTGGAGACTCACTGTACCTTTCTAGAAGGAATCTGAGATACTCTGAACAGTCCTGCTGTGAGCCCATGTTGAACCAGGGAGGACGAGACGCTTCCAAGAAGTTCCTGGGAGCGTACGCTGCCCTCTGTAGGCCAAAGCACACAACTCATGATGACATCCACCAACTTCACACATATTTCATTAGTCAAGACATAACAGACCTGTGTGTGTGCCAGGAAGGCAAAAAGGAGCTGCAGCCTCTTCATTACTGTGTTGGAGCCATTAAGATGTAAAGACAAAACTTGCCTCCTGAAACTGAGAGCAAAAACTCAGGTTTAATTCTTCACATTCTCAGCTTTGACATGTGTGTTGGTGTGACTGAGTGACTCACTCTGTTGCCATAAAAAGGGTCTGGATGATGCTGTTCATGTAGCAGGTGTTCCCCAGGTTGATCAGACCTGTCCTTCCTGTCTCAGACTTCCCAGCTGGCCTCAATAAACCAGAAGCAAACGAATTGGACTGGGATGTCCAGGCACTTTGATTCAACACCAACTTGATCTTCTCTTCTGAAGGTTTTGGGAAATCCTGGAAAGAGAATATGGAATAATTAACGCGGATGTGTCTGAAGGCTGGCCTTATTTACAGAGCAGTCTTTTTTGATTTGAATTAACTCAGAAAATACCAACATAAACATCAGTTCTTCACCTTTATGGCTTCCAATATGTGGTCGTAGAGGTCAGGGAAGCCAGAGTACTGGTACATCATGCAGTGTATAAGCTCAGTGAATTGGAGCAGGAAGGTTTGACTGGTGGGGAGACCATCAGTGTTTAGAGTCTGAACTAGAGGGCGCACGAGTGGAACAACCTGAAAGGCAAAAAACAGAAAATTAGGAAATAAAAACAATAAATTCTGGACGATGAAGCTAAAATGTTCCCATCAAATGAGCAGCAGGAAGGAGATGAACATCAGGACCTCCACAGAGAGTTCAGCTGATCATTTTGCGTTTTTTAGGTTTTAATTAAATTGGTTCAAGGGCCACTGCTTGGCATTTAAGATGCTTTGCAGATCATTACTGAGGAGGGTCTGTGTGGCCTCAAAGTAATTTAAGCAAGAACAGAAGGAAAATGAGAGAACAAACAATCTGGTCACATGAGGAGGAAATGAGCTGTGAGGAGGCAGAGGACCTCTTACCAAATGGAAGGCCTCAGGAGAGTGCTGGAAGCTCAACAGCATGTGGGAAAGCACGGATAGCGCCCCCTGCCGCACAATAGGGTACCACAGACGGTTGAATACCTGCAGGTCAAAATAAACAGAAAGCAAATATTTATAAGTTAAATTTAGGACAAATCAAAGTCAATTTCTTTAACACATTTGTCATAAAAGGCCTAAAATATAAAATCAATTACATCAACCAGCAATAAATATGAACTACAGTAATTAATCAATCTATTTCACACATTGGTAACATAATATTTAAATCCAACCTCCTCTCCAAAGAACCGTAAACCAAGGAAGTTTTACAAACCATTTCAATTTTCAGCAGAGTGACATCTATAAGGATGGTAAACTTCTGAACAGCAGCCAGTCCTTTCAGCAGAGCGATGACCCAGGTATCCACATGTTGGGCCAGCGGCCAAGACAACCAGTCGATCATTCTTTAAAACACACAACAAACAACTGTTAACAAGCATAAACTGCATATTACACACTGAAATTAGAACATGCTTTCATCCTACAGCTTACAAGTGTTGAATATAAGTGCAGAATAAAAAGACATTGAGCTACCGGCTGAGAGCTTTGGTCATGCTTGCATCTCTGACGTTCTGGTCTGTGGTGAGACTTTTGATGAGCACAGTGATCATCTGGACAGGGATGTGCTGGACCAGACTAGCCAGGGCAATAGATGGGTCAAAGGATGGGTCTGAAAGGACAACAACATCGAGTTATTTTTCTGTATAAAATATTTTAATATGTTCCTTGAAGCTTGTGAGTTGTTTCTATTTAGATACTTATTAACATCTAGATAGAAACATTTAAAACAAATCTGCAGACACAATAAAAAGCCAACCTGTAAAAAAAACAACAACAAAAAACAGCTGATGCACCACGATTCACCATGTGTTTGTGGTCTACAAAAATCTCAGACATGTTATTTCCTGTTTTATTTTATGAATAATAACAATTTGTGAGTATGTTTGCAGTTTCAGTTGGCAACACAAAAATAAAATATCCTACACTATTTGTCCTGTATTAACTCAAGATTTTAGAACATTTAAAGTCATACACTACAAAAACACAAAATCTTACCAAGAATCTCTGTCTCACTTCTAGTGCAAATATTTTAGTAGACTTGAATTAAGACAAAAATATCTCAATAAATCTTGAATGTACATACAAAAATACTAGTTCCACTGGCAGATTTTTTTCCCCACTTAAAACATGAAAATTGTCTTGCTAAAAGTGAAAAACATCTGCCAGAGGAACTAGTACTTTATCTATATCAAAAGAAGTATTGACTTAAAACAAGCTTATATATATTGCTGAAAAGTTACTTTTAAATTAGTTTTGACTTTTGACTTATTTCATGTGAACCAATATATATACATAGACAAAATACTTGGTAAAATGTTGTATTTTTGCAGTGTTTTTACTTTAAAATATCAGTTCATTTGTCAATTTTAACAAACAGAAAGTCTGTAACAATTCAAGCAGCTTTACCTGTGGAGGAGATAATAGCAAAGACTTCTTGCAGTGAGGGCAACAGTGTGGCTGGCTCTGCCTTCCAGATGTTCTGTAGAAGAGTGCTGACCTTCGTCACTTGGCCTACATACTCTCTCAGTTCCCGCTCTTCGCTGGCACAGCACTGAAAGCAGCTGATGGTCCTCACTAGCTGCTGGCAGAACAAGACGCCTGACTTTTCCCTCGGGATGCACTGCATAAAGTCTGACAGCAAAGTGCTGAGTCGGGCGCAGAGAGCTGGCTCAGGGCGTTCGCACACCATCCTCAAAACCTCCACTTGGATGACACTGAAGGTCTCCAGGACGGAGGGGCAGCTGATGAGCAGCCGCAGGCAGCAGTGGATGTAATCGATTATGGCAGCGTCTCTGTGTTCCAGCTGCCCGTAGCCCTGCTGGAGTAAACCAAGCACAAAGTCTTTGCAGAAGAAGAGCTCAAACTCGGGCCGGTGGTAGCGAGCGTAGGCCTCCAGAACTTGCAGGCCGATCTGCTTCTGGAAAGCATTGTCACCAAGTAAGATGAGGCGGGTGGTGAGTGTGAATAGGGCTTGACACTGCTCCTGCGTCACGTCGTTCTCTGCTGCTTCAACCACCTTCTTCACTATGGCCCTCTTCACCGGGACAGAGTGATCGGAGCTGATCAGGCCCTCCAGAATCTTGTCCATGATCTCGAGCTGCAGAGGACAAAATAAAGTGATTAGTTGGTAAAAAGTGATTATACTTGGAAAAATAAATAAATTAGTCATTAGACTTGTTTTTTTAATGAACACATTCAATAACCAAGGAGACACATTAGTGAGCATAGTGAGCAGCACATTGTTTCTGAGAATTAGTTGATTGTTCAAGTCTCAAACAACCAAACTACAGCCTTCTTTAACTCAAACACACAACACCAGCCCATGAAGTCACAAGTCTTGAATCAACTGTAACTTAGTGAGATCTGAATAATAACCAGGCAACAGGCTCCAGAACAGATCGCTTCGCATTGATTTATATTAGAAAATCCCTAATCTCTAAGAGACAGAGATAAGTGGAGTAGATTGGTAAAAACTAGATACTCTATTTATTTTTGTTGTAGTCTTTAAAATACCAGCATTTTTTTGTCTACCTGATGACATAATTTTTTTTATTATTTTTTACTGTCCCAGCTATAACGATCCACTTGATAGATATGTTTTTTTAAGAAACCCAAAGCTAAGCATTAATTTGGGTTTGTTTCATAACTTCAACTATTAAATCATATGATCAAATGTTATGTTAAATTACTCAAGTAAGCTTTTCACCAAGTACGTTTTTACTGTTGCAGCTTTAAAATATACTTTTAGCAGGTAGGTAGCTATCATTTGTAAGATTATTTTTTTTCTCATTTCCTTTTTTAAGTATTCCAATGTGAACATTTAACAATTATTTATATATTTAAAAGCCAATGTAACTATAAAAATGTAAATTATTTATTTGGTACTGAACAGTATTCTCTGCTTCATTTATTACACAGGAGGAGAAAGACAACAAAAATTGCTGTTTTGTTTCTGTTCTGTAGAAACTGGCAGCTAGCGTGCTAATGCTAGTTGCTTCTTTAAATGCAACAAATGCCTATAGACGAGTAGGAGCTATAGTAGATTATTAACAAAATATAACCACGGCGCTATAATAATTATTATAAAATCTGAAGTACTCCATATTCCAACCAAATAAATAAAATAATCCCACCATAATAACAACAAAGCAATGAAACAGGCCGAGTAACCGTCAGGTACCACTCTGACTTAGCATAAATACCACCACAATACATCCGCAATTCATAAGCGTATCAACCTGAACTTACCTGAATTCAGCATGTCAACACATTCCAAACTAAATGTAAAAGCTCTCAGGCCGAGTCAAACATCTCCTGACAGATGAAACAGTTTTATTCAGGTATCATTTGAGCGTTCAGAATCAGCTGATTAACCTTCCACTACCGTCATTCCAACTGCCGACATCCGGTGTTGTGCTGAAAAACGCACCCCTGCCGTAAAACGTAACTGTTGTTTTCAAAGGGAGATACTTTTTCTTAATACTGTTTTGATGTTTTTTTAAAAATAAGTAGGGCATTTCTATATAGTAACTAAGAAAGCTTTAGATTTACTTTGCATTTATACTTACATATTTAGTCTACATAAAGATAATTAGTTCTTTTTGCATCAGGGATTCTTTTGTCGCCAGAACAAAATTTTTCAAGTACTCAATGATTTTTTTCACTAAAAATCTCTATAAAAACACTTAAATTGTTCTCCTTCAGTCCAAGTTGTATGTAAGTGTCAGCCAATACAATGAATGTTGTTACAGGATGTAGTCATTTTGTGGTTGTTAGAAAATTTAGGAAATATCTACTCCTAAAGTTATTCACATTTTTTTAAATAACCAGACTTACTAGTGAGAATATTATCCCTTTTGTCATTCTGCTCTTTATAGAGCAACACTGGGACTCTAACAAAGTGATACTAGCAGCGTGTGTGTGCATATAAGCATGTAATGTATATTATTCAGTATTCATCATTGACAGCTAGCTGACAATGTTTTTTTTGCCAGCTAGCTGCAAAAAAACAGCTAGCTGTTTATACATACACATATTATACATATACATAATATATACATATTTATATAAATTTATGTTTATATATTTATATAAACATGTATTGATATTACAAGACGAGAGCGGTCCATTAGGCGTCTATCCTTTTATTATGTCTATGTGAGAAACGGCCCGGTCTACGGAGAGGTTCCCATAGTTTGGGAACCTCTGACATAGCCTGATACATAGACATGAATTATTCATTATTAATTATTCTTATTCATGTCTATGCCCCCTTCATCGTAAGGACCTTTAGATGAAGAAGCTGTTTTACTGATACCTGTTATAGTACAGATGTGCTTCATTATAATATTAATTTGAATAAATACTTATTCCTTATTAATGGTGAAACGTCATAAAAAATTGTACGGATTTTACCAAAACAAATATTTAAAAATGCATTCCACTCAAACGCTCTCGACCATTTAATGTTTGAATATCTACGGAAGCTTATCAGTTGCTATTTCAGAAATTAATATACATGAGGTCAGAATATATTTTTTATTATTTTAAAATATGGAAATTATATTTAATCTTCAAAAAACTATAGAGAATATGACAAAGTTAATATGACTAACACAATGTTACTTTGAAATTACAAATCTCATGTATTTACATGTAAATGGTCATTATTACGTATTAGCATAAAAAAATGAACTTTAACATTTATCTCAAAACGACTTGTTACAAACTTGTTGATTCATACAAAGAATTGCCTTTAATTGGTTTATAGGTTGTTATTAATTTTGTTCAGGAATTACGTCACTCTAAACGCATGGTGCGTTCCATTTCCGTTGTCGCAAGCCGGAATTTCCGAGTGCAAAGTTAGAAACTGTAATTTTCTATCTGATAATTTTACTTCCTTAATTTTTATTTATTTGCTATTTTAATTTAATTTAATTTGTTTTGTGTAGCTTATAAATATACTGTACAATGTGATATACAATGTAAATCTACACTATTTATTTCAATAACCAGTTGGCTTTGTTAATTTTACTATGCACTGTAAGTAATACAAATTGATAGCATTGCATTTCTCAAAACATTTTGCGTTGAACAGCAAAGGAACATGTTCACAAACAGATGTTACACAGTGTTCCTAATTTAACAAAACACACCAGACGTGCAAATAAACACTTTATTTCTCTAGAATGCAAAATGTTTTCTATAGCTTTCCTTCCACGTTCAAAACCCAAATTTAAGGGGCATTCAAGCTATTGGGTTTAATGAGCAATTGCTTTTTCAAGAACAGGTTGGCTTGAACAATTGTTTTTTTTTCTCTTTTTTTTCGCTGAATAATTAAATCATAATTTGAAAACAGTTTTTAGTTGGCTCCTTTTTTTGCTTCTTGCTTGTTTATTTGGATGATCTTTATACAGGATGTTTTGATAATCTGAAATATTTAAGTGTGACAAAAAAATATAAGTGGGAGATTTTTTTTTCCAGCACTGTAAGGTGTGTATGCCATACCAGGTCAGCCGAAGTGACATTTTCAAGGGTCCGCGAAAGCAGCACTTACAAGTCTCGCGAGAGAGCACGTTTACCGGGTAGCTTTGTAGCGCGAGAAAAATCTTGCTAGCGTGCTGGCTGTTCAACCGGCGCGTCTTTCATTATCAACAATAGTTCAGACTAAACCCGTTAAGGTTCAGGAAAAACATTAACGGCCGTTTCAACAAGATATATTAAGGCACTAAATAACCTACCATATCTCTGAACCAAAGAGAGATTTTCGTCAAAATGTCCGAAAGCGAAAACTGCGTTGAACAGCGGGAAGAACCAACTGAACTTGAAGAAGCAGGAGGAGCGGAGGTAACACGGTTTAAACTATTCCCATCACTGACTAAATGTTTTTAAAACACATCACCGTTGTCGTTAATGCACTCTCTCGTCGCTTGGAAAGTTATTCCGTACTCTTTGTGTTAAATGTGCGAGTGTTAATGTGAGGTATCCAGGCTAGTTAGCTCTCCGCGACGGGTGCTACAGTTAGCTAACAGCAGCAGCAGCATCAGAGGCGTCCAGCGGCCGCCCAAGCTAACGTTCCCCGGCCCAATAAGCAGTGTTTATACTCCAAAGGTTATTGCACCAAAATTATTCCCTCATTTATTGTTCACTGGTAAAATACACGCGGTCATTTTGGTGCTTGTGAATGTAAACATTTTAACTGGACCAGTGAGGAGGATAACTTCTCAACTTTCCTATCAGTCTCTTTGTTTTCAATGAGTCTGGTCAGAAAAAGCCTGCTAACTGTTTGGGATCTGTAGCACCTTCTGTTGTGTTTAAAAAAAAACATAAAAAAAACCCAAACCAAAACAAAACAAACAAAACGGCATCCTACTAACTTCATATGGCCTTTCAGAAAAACTACAGTATGCCTGTGAGAAGCTAACCTGTGCTATGTTACCAAATAAGATATTTTTGTGTAACAAAATACAATATATTTAGACGAGCTCAAACAACTCAAAATGTATGTTTCTATGTTCTATTTAATTTACCGTTAAAGCTGAAATCTGCACATAAGTCGCCATACTAGTCCACATTTTATTGTTAGATTAAATGCACATAAAATAGATGAAATAGAAATATTCTTTATTGTCCTATTAGTGTATTAGCAGCAAGTTAAAGGTAAATAGATGAGAAATATAAAAATACGAATAACCTTTACAATGAAGACAAATTTACAATGTAACAAAAATAGTACTGTGCAGTTATTGAAAATGGCATATTTGTATAAAACAGAAGTACAACCGAGTATGGTAATTTAATAAATGAACAACATGTGCATTTGTATTTATTTATTTTTTGCATAAAAGACAATAGACAATTTATAGCAAATGAGAAAACTGAAATAACGGCAGATATGTAAACACTTATTGCAGTGTTAAAAGAGCATTATAAGTAAAATCTATTATTATTATTATAAGTTATAATGAGTTAGTTTGAAGCTGCAATAATGGCTAACTACCAAGCAATCTTGACAATTAAATTGAACTTGATCTGAATAGATTTTTTTTGTAAAATGTTGTGTGATTCTGGGTTGGAGTTCAGCAAAATAATTCAACATTTTATAAATATAGTTTGTTATTGCTTTATTGCCCAGACCTAGTTAAAACTTTTAGGATACCATTAAACTTAAGTAGGTTTATGTTGAGGTTACATTTTTATTACTAAATTTATCTATTTGAAGATAAATTATTTTTTGTTTTAACACAAAACAACCAAGCAGTACTATACAGAATTCACTAAAAATGTACAAACAATAAATACAGTATCAGATTTGCTGCTATTATACAATAATTATGCTCTTTGTGGACTGTCAATTGGATAATTTAGTCCTGCTAAAACTAATATGAAATTGCCTCATCAAAACTTATGTCTTGTGTTACACCAGCTGATTCAACTTATTAATTTTCAAATATGATGCCTTTTACTTAGGGCACTTAGATTCTAATAATCAGTTTTTGGTTTTTAAAGTAATATCTCTTAAAACATGGCATGACACCAGGTTGTTAGTGTAAGTATAATATATTTTTAAATAATTTATTTTCATTGAAAGCAGCTGAGGTCTTGTTCCTCATCATTTTACTTGGAGTGTTGATCCTATGGAATTAGAATATTCCAAAGCAAATCTAATCTATAATCTTGTGCTTCAGGAAAAATCAGACTCTTCAGATGCTGGAAAAGAATCCTCATCAGAAGGTGGTGCTGATGCACAAGATGCTTCCTCCTCTTCATCATCTAAGACTAAAGATTCCACTCCAGGTTATGAGGAGAAAGTGGTAAATAAATTATTTTGTGTAGTTGAAGTATCATATCCGACTGTTGTGATTCTGGGTAAATGAGTGAAGACACTTCCTCCTGTTTGTTGCAGCAAACTGACCGAACCAACAGGTTTGAATATCTGTTAAAGCAAACGGAGCTGTTTGCACATTTCATCCAACCGGCTGCACAGAAGACCCCCACCTCCCCGCTGAAGATGAAGCCAGGCCGTCCTCGGATCAAGAAAGACGAGAAACAGAACCTGCTCTCTGCTGGAGAGTGAGTATTCGGCCCAACAACTCGGCTTGTTTTTAACCTTCAGAAACTTAAACCCATTTCCTGTTCTGTGTTTCAGCAACCGGCACCGCCGCACCGAGCAAGAGGAAGATGAAGAGCTTCTCAACGAGAGCACAAAGACCACCAACGTGTGCACTCGCTTTGATGAGTCTCCCTCCTGTAAGCGCAGACCGGCTTCCGGAGCTGAAGGGAATTTTAGAGCTGTTCTTCAGGTTGACCGCTCTCTCATGTCTCATTTCAGATGTGAAAACAGGAAAAATGAGGGACTACCAGATCCGTGGTCTGAACTGGCTCATTTCTCTGTATGAAAATGGAATCAACGGCATCCTGGCAGATGAGATGGTCAGTATTTCCCCCGCTGATGAAAGCATGTGGGTGAATTACAGTTAGGTCTGAAACTATTAATTGTAATGAATCAGTTGTTGAAATAATCGTCAACTAATTAAGTTATTGATTAATCGTTAACTGGAGTATACAGACTCAAAAAAAGAGGCAATTTTCTGATATGACACAGTCAGAGCAATCATTTAAGATGACATAAAATAAAAAAGTTTATAGATATACTCTACCCAAAACTCAAGTGGCATTGTTTAGTTTCACCCTGTTCAAATTCTGTGAAAAAATCAACTTCCATTAATCACCGTTTATCATCCAGTTATTAATCAGCTAATAGAGAAAACAGTCAACTGTTTCTCCTCCATCGTATTTATGTTAAGTCAAGCAGAAACGGCTGAGCTTTTCACATTTGTATGTTAAAAGTTTTTATTTTCCACTGTAGATCAAATGTTCACTAAAGTAATGCTATGTCTTTGCATTTTAGGAAAGAAAGTGTATATTTTCTTATTTTAAAAATTAATTGAATTATTCACATCTTTTAATGTGTTAATATTGTCTAAAAAGACTCAAATGAATCATCTGCAAAATGTGCCAGGTTTTTTTTGCTGATTAATCATCAAAAGTAATCGATTGATGACTAAAATAACGGTTAGTTGCAGCTGTAATTCCAGTTAGTTTCTGGCCTTCAACATGTTCTCTGAACCTGTTCAGGGACTGGGGAAGACCCTCCAGACCATCGCCCTGCTGGGTTACATGAAACACTACAGAAACATTCCAGGTCCTCACATGGTGCTGGTCCCCAAGTCCACTCTGTACAACTGGATGAACGAGTTCAAACGATGGGTCCCCTCTCTGCGCGCCGTCTGCCTGATCGGAGATCGGGATCAGCGTGTAAGCTGTGACATAATGATTAATCTAAGGCTTTTGATTTAAAACTCTGTCATTTGAAACATTTGGGTTCTGATTGATTTCCTTCAGACCGCCCTGATCAGAGACGTCCTGCTGCCAGGAGAGTGGGACGTCTGCGTCACGTCTTACGAAATGCTCATCATTGAAAAGGCCGTGTTTAAGAAGTTCAACTGGAGGTACCTGGTCATCGATGAAGCTCACAGGATTAAGAACGAGAAGTCAAAGGTCAGGAGCTGCTGACATTTTGCCCTCTTCAAGGTTCATATGGGTGCTAGAAAATGCTTGAATTTCATTTAGGTGTTTTAAAGATTTGGAAAGTGTTTGATTTCTACATAAATTAATGAAAATGCTCAATATTCAAACTACACAGTTTTGTAACAAAGTGCAATCTAATGTTTGATTAAAAACTTAAACTTATAAATATTATTCAGTTAAAACCAGATACTTTCAAATACCTAATAAAATGTTTTCTCACAGTCTAAAGTTAAATCAGACTAAACTTTTTTTATTTCATTTAGAATTACCAAAATTATTTATAATTGTTAAAAGCCAGAAAACTTTTTTTGTAACTTCGAATTAGTACGTTTGAATGTAGAATGTTGTTAATAGCAGTAATAATTTATGTCACGTCTTTCAGCTGTCAGAAATTGTGCGTGAATTTAAAACCACCAACCGGCTGCTCCTGACTGGAACGCCGCTTCAGAACAACCTGCATGAGCTCTGGGCTCTGCTCAACTTCCTGCTGCCTGACGTCTTCAACTCATCGGAGGTGTTTACTTCCATCCTGTTTTCCCCTGTCGCCTGACCGAGTTCATGCATCAGGTTACTTACCAAGTTTTCATTTCTTTCTAGGATTTCGACTCATGGTTTGACACAAACAACTGCTTGGGCGACCAGAAGCTGGTTGAACGTCTTCACACTGTAAGTTCCAAACATTTAATGTAAATCTCATCCTTTTAAAGTGTGTATTTGGGTTGAATATCCCTTTAAATGCCGTGTTGTTGTTGTTCAGGTGCTGCGTCCTTTCTTGCTTCGTCGTATCAAAGCAGACGTCGAGAAAACTTTGCTTCCCAAAAAAGAGATCAAGATTTACGTGGGTCTCAGTAAAATGCAGCGCGAGTGGTGAGCATCGAAGCTTCAAGATTCTTTGACATTAAATTTGGTCTGAACTGGACGTCTAAAGACATCGGCTGTATTTCCACCCATCAGGTACACAAAGATTCTCATGAAGGACATCGACATCTTGAACTCTGCGGGCAAAATGGACAAAATGCGTCTGCTGAACGTCCTCATGCAGCTCAGGAAATGCTGCAACCATC